TCCAGGTTCGAACCTGTAATAAAGATCCTTGCTGCTTAGCTTTGACTCTGGACTCTGGTGGTCTTCTTCGGGGAATAAACGGTCTGGGCATAACACCCGCATCTGGTGAATGAAATGTTAGGGCTCAGAAATCAATACTCCAAAATATGATACATTGACATTCTGAAGAAACTTCAACGTCTCTACGACTTTCTTCCCCCACATACTCTCTCTCCCAAAACCTTCAGATTTTTTTTTTTCTTAAGATCCAGATCCACCAAGGAGAACATTTTTTTTTCCTTCTCTATAAAGCAAAGAGTATAATCACATCTTAACAAACCCTTTCACAAGATAATACAAGTTTTCTGTTCCCTGATCTGATTATTCTTCCTAGTGATCCCCTTAACAGATATTCTCTTCTCCTACCTTTCATAACCTTTTTTTGCCAGGATAGTATATAAGTTCCTGAACTCCATTGGAGAGTGGGAAATCATTCTGTGATGCTCGCCATCTGCACAACAAAGGTGTATGCCTTTTCTCCTATTAATCTACCTTATGTCAGTGATTTTCAGCAAACATTCAGAGAGCAAGAGGAAAATCTCCCTTGGCCTCTATGAAACTAACGTGCAGATGCACAATACATCTGTGAATCCAGGGAAGCACATTCTGAAGGGTCTATCTCAGTGAAGCAGATTCTAGACTGTCTGGCAGCAAGACTTTTGGGGGAACTCAATATATAGCTATTACTACTCATGTCACTAGAATTAGCACTACAGCCTTTGATGTAATGTATATATCATTTTGGATCAGCTAAGGACCAAGTTTTCAGCTCGTAGGTGTCCAGGTGGAAACAGCTGGCAAGGCAGAGGCTGAGAAATCAAGGTATGTCTTGACAGAGGGGGTAAAGTTTTCATTTTGTTTTCCTAAAGATAATTAAAACACATGTATAACAGAAATGAAAAAAACAAACAGTTGAGTAGAAGACATTAAGTACATAAGAGAAAGGACAAAATTTGTGGAGGGAAGTAATGAATTAAGTTGAGAAAATAAGCTGGCAGTTTCTTTTTCCTTAACAGAATAAAAGTTATTTATACAGTGAAGAAATGTTATTTTTTTTCAAATTAGGTACAAGTCTAGGTGCATATTATAGATTGGTAATCAGGAAATACAAAGATATGACTTTATGAAGCTTAAAATCTAGTAGAGGAGACAGAAATATATGTATATGTTATATATATCTATATATATACTTATTTATTTATAAGGTTACTAAATATTGTCCCAATACTAGCTCAGCACTTTAGCCCTCCACTTTGAACCGAGAGGAAATTCTCTAAAGCTAGGTTAATATAGCTTAATAGAGCAAAACAAGGAACCAAAAATGGCTAGATTAGTCTATGTGACTCATAAACATAAAGTATATATAGATGGTGATTGATATATATATATACACACACACATATGTGTGTGTGTGTGTGTATATATATATATGGTGATAAGACTTCCATAGAAGAGAACTGAATGTTGTGAAAAAAAAATATGGAAAAGGAGAGAAATTAGACAGCCGATTTATATCAGGTTGTAAAGGAAGACCGGCTTTAAGAGGTTTCATTGGAGCTAAGATCTTAATAAGTTGGCTGAACAAGGTGCTGACCAGCTGGAAAAGCCTTTCAAGTAGAAATTACAGGAAAATAAAAACTCTCAGAAGAGGTAATAAATTTAGCATGTGGCGGGTCATAAAGTGGCTGGAGCATATCATGTGAGGGAGAAAGTAGCAGAAAGTATGGGGGAGTCAGTGAAGGTTCAGATCATGCAGGGTTTTACAGGTTTTAATAAAGAGTTTGAATATTACATTCTAAGTGTAAAGGGAGAAGACATTGGAGGATTTGAATGAGACAGTGAAATTTTCTAATTTACATTTTTAAAAGACTATTCTCATTGCTGTATGAACAGCATAATTAGGTGGAGAAGGGAATTGGGTGCAACAACAACAACAAAAAACAAACAAACAAACAAAAAAATAAGGCTATTTTAATATTCAACCAAGAGATGAGGGTGGCCTATCCTAGCCTGGTGATGGTGGGGAGAAAGAGAAATGGAGAAGTGGGATATTTCTTGCAAGTAGAAATTTCAAAACTTTGATGGATTAGATGTGTGTGAAGACCGGAAGAAAGGTGTCCAGAAAGAAATCAGATTTATAATTCAGGCATTTACTTGATGTGTTGATTATGTTAAATAATAGGGTTAAAAAGGAAAACCAATGTAATCAATGTGGCAGATGGGAATCTAGTGATAGAAATGGCAATTTAATCTACTGACATATGATGAGATTAAAATTGAGTAGTAGATTAGAATGACCTATGCTTGGGTCATTTTCTGTTTATCATTATTCAGACATAACTAAAAAATTATGCATATAAAATAGAGGATTCTAGTTTGGGAATTTTGTCATGAATCAAAATTGAAACAGTTGAAACAGTTGAAACTTAATTGTGTCGAAGTAGGTAGGCAGATTTTAAAATACTATCTACTATAGAAATTCTTAAAATGCAAACCTACTTTATTAAATGCCTTTAAACTCCATGTTGCCTGCCATAAGATTGTTTGGAAAGACTTAATGATTTAATTGGAAGCATCAATTAAAATAAAACATATTACTTTATATGTTAAACACTATATATATATATATATATATGTACAGAATTTAAGGATTTGACCTAGTTGTTCCTCAGAGGGTCAAGTTTTTGTTACTACAAGAACATGTCTCTAAGAACCATCTTTACAATACAAATTTCAATTAACTGTGGCATTTCCTTTCTGCTGTAAATAAAGCTGGCTATTGAATAAATTGTGAAGTACAAAAACCTCACCTTACAAATTTCTCTAATCCATTTTTTCACTTCTTTCTTTCTACACATTTCCTGGGAATTTAATATTCTATTTCTCCCTCTGGCTCTTCTTCCTCTATAGCAATTGTGGCATCCTATGCAAGACTTACATCCTCTGCACTCCTATGTTATGAATATTTTATTTTCTATATGACCCAAAGATGATATAACCAAGCAATTTTGCTTCTAGGTATATGCTCAAAAGGTTTACATACTGGTACTCAAAAAATTACTTGTACACAAATGTTCATAGTAGCATTATTCAAAATAGACAAAAGTTAAAAACACCCCAAATGTCCATGGGCAGTTAATGAATAAACAAATTGTGGTATATATGAAAATATCCAACCATAAAAAGGAATGAATTAGTGATACATGATATAACTTGAAAAACACTTATGCTAAGTGAAATACACCAGACAGAATAGATCACATACTGTATGATATTATTTACTTCTTCACACCCCTATCAAAACTGATTCACAGATGACATGATTCTATGTATGGAAAATCCCATAGGATCCACCAAAACCTAATAGACCTAATAATTAATTTAGCAAAGCTTCTGGGTAAAAACCAACACATAAAAATCAGCTGTCTTTTTATACACTAATAATGAACAATCTGAAAAGGAAAAAATGGAAATAATTCCATCTACAATAGTATCCAAAAAAGTTAAGTATTTAGGAATAAATTCAACCAAATATGTGGACAGTTCATACACTGAAAACTATAAAACATTAATAAACTAAAGAATACATAAATAAATGGAAAGATATCTCATGTTTTTGGATTAGAAGACTCACTTTTGTTAAAATGGCAATGCTAACTTCAAGCAATCTATAGATTCAATGCAATCATAAAAATTCTAAGAGCCTTTCTGCAGAAACGGAAAACCCAATTCTTGAATTCATATGAAATTGCAAAGAGCCTTGAATATTAAAACACTCACAAAGTAGAGGAACAAAATTGAAGGACCATCATTTTCAAATTTTATAACTTACTACAAAACTACAGTAATTAAACAGTATGGTCCTAGCATAAGAACAGTCATATGCACTGATGGAACAGGATTGAGAGTGCAGGAATAATCATATATATGTATGGTCAGTTGATTTTCAACAAGGATGCCAAGATTATTCAATAGGTAAAGAATAGTTTCCTCAAGAAAACGATGCTGTGACAAATTGATATTCACAGACAAAATAAAAAAGTGGTAGCTTTATACAAAATTATACAAAAAAAATAAATTATGTATATATACATATACAAAAATGTACTTAAAATTTTATCAAAGACTTAATTATAAGAGCTAAACTCTAAAACTCTTAAAAAAAAAAGGGTTTTCTTGAGGTAAGCTAAGGAAGGAAGCAAGAACAGCTGGAAGGACCAGAAAACGGGGGTTTTCTATCTATACTCAAGGAGCCAAAGAGCCAACCAAAGCCTGCAGGAGGCATCTTCAGACTGCGAGGGGCTCCCAGAGGATTCTGGGACAGTGCGGGCTCACCATGCTACCTTGCCTCGCCTCGTCCTGCATCTCCTGATGGAGCTGTCCGTGTGCACTGTGGCAGGTGATAGTGGAGAGGAACAGACACAGCACTGAAGCAGAGACCTGGATAACTGTGGCCTTGGAGGAAGGTGCTGGCCCCAGCATTCGGCTCCAGCTGCAGGAGGTGAAGATGGGCAAGGCAAGCCAGTTCTTTGGGCTGATGGGGAAGCGAGTGGGAGGAAGACCTCTGATCCAGCCAAGGAGAAAAAAAGCATTGTCAGCTGGAACACACGCTCCAGGGCCTCCTGGGCAAGAGAAGCCTGTCCACAGAAGGCAGAGAGGATGAGGCCCAAGGTTCAGAGTAAAAGCCCCCACTGCAGACTTCCCAGAGGACGTGGTGCCACTTCTTCCTACCTGGATGTCACAGCTGACAAGCCAGCAGGCCAACTCTCTTCTCTGTGTCTCCTGTCCTCATCACTGGCACTTCACATTAAGGCCCACACTGAACCCACCTGGCGTCTTCCTGGACTCTCGGTGTCAGGCAGCAGTCCTGCATAAATGCACGATCTTCACCGTTGCAAGCTGCATTGACTCTGCCCTCCCTCACACTCAGAGCTGGCATCTCACTACACAGCAGTGGGGAGATTCGCACACTCTGTATCCTGTGCCTAGCACACAGTAGGTGCTCAATAAATGAGTGACCAGTTGCGGGGGAAGAAAGGAAAAAAAAAGGTTTCCTTTCTCTTTTTTTTTTTTGAGATGGAGTCTTGCTCTGTTGCCCAGGCTGCAATGGTACGATCTCGGCTCACTGCAACCTCCGCCTTCCTGGTTCAAGCAATTCTCCTGCCTTAGCCTCCCAAGTAGCTGGGACTATAGGCGTGCACCACCATGCCTGGCTAATTTTTTGTTTTAGTAGAGATGGGTTTCACCATGCTGGCCCGGCTGGTCTTGAACTCCTGACCTCGTGATCCGCCCACCTCGGCCTCCCAAAGTGCTAGGATTACAGGCGTGAGCCACCACGAGAAAAAAGGTTTTCTTGACCTTCATGACCTTGGATTTGGCAACAGATTCTGAGATCTGACATCAAGAGTACAACCAACAAAAGAAAAAATAGATAAATTGGAGTTTGTTAAAATTAAACCGATTTTCATGTTAAAAGACATTCATGTTAAAGGACATTATCAAGGAAGAGAAAGACAACTTATGGAACGGGATAAAATATTTGCAAATCATATAGCTGACAAGAATCTAGTATCCTGATTTTATAAAGAATACCTTCTACTCAATAACAAAATGAAAAACACTCCCATTCAACTCTTAAGTCTTTAACAACAACAACATGGAAAACAATCTCATACAACCAGCCCATGGACTCGAATTGATGCTCCTCTAAAGATGTGCAAATGACACTTGAAATGTAATGCTAAACATTATTAGTCATTAGGACAATGCAAATCAAAATCACAATGAGATACCACTTCACTCCCATCTACATGGCAATTTTTAAAAATCAGAAAAATAACTAGCATTCTCAAGAATATGGAGAAATTGCAAGCCTTTTACATTGCTTATGAGAATGTAAAATTGGTCAGTTGCTGTGGAAAATGTTGACAGTTCTGATACAGGAGATAGAAAGAATTTATTTAGACAGATAGTGAGAGCAAAAGAGTCTTTGGCAGAACTTCCCTTCTAACAAAAAGCAACCTAAGAAATCATTTTATTTCTCACAAGAGCAGCCTGAAAGATCGAGCGGCAAATATAGATAAGGAAGCTGGAAGTGTGCACGGGAAATGCCAGCAGCTACACCAATAGAAAAGGGCTACCTGGGGGCCAGGCATGTCCACCATGGAAGCTCCGTTTTATTTTTTTTGTTAACACTTGTATAGTAAGAAAGAAATGGGCAACATGGAGACGCTCAGGCAGGGAACCCACCTGAATAATAAAAGATTGGGGTGGGGGCTGCCAGAGATTCAAGTGGTATGCAGATGGCAAACCTGGTTCTAACTGTTTTTTCGTGCCCTGTGTAGATCAGACACCATCTCCCCACTAGCTCAACTATAAAAACTCCCTCCTTCATTTCACTGCAGATCAGCCGCCCAGTTTCCGGGTCCCCTTTCTATAACAGAAAGCTATTATCTTTCTTTCACCTGTCAAATTTCCCTTTTAACTTCACTCTTTGTGTGTCCACATCCTTGATCTCTGTGGCTGAGACAACGAACCTCGGGTGTCACCCCAGAAAACAAGGCCACTTCATTGTGGGAGCTCACTTGAGATCCAAGGTAGATTCATCAAAAGAAAGAGTATAGGAGCAGTTCTTTAAAAAGTTAAACATAGAATTAGCATATAATCCAGTAATTCCACTTCAAGGAATACACTCAAAAGAATAGGATACTAGTACTAAAAGAAATACTTGCACACAAATATTTATAGTAGGTCTAGTCACAATTGACAAAAGCAGGACACACCCAAATGTCTATAAATAGCTTAATGGACAAATAAACGGTGTTATATACATACAATGGAAAATATTTAGCTATAAAAAGGAATAAAGTACCTATACATGCTATAACCTGAAAAATGTGTTTTGTTAAGACACAAAAGGTCATGTATTGTATGATCCAATTTATATATAATTTATGAATGGGCAAATTCACAGAAATGAAAAGTAGATTGATGGTTTTCAAAGGCTGGGGGAAGTGAATGGAGAATAAGTGGTTACTGGGTATGTGATATTATTTTGGGGTTAACGAAAATGTTTAGAACTAGATAGAGGTGATTGCACAACATTGTTAAAATAACTAATGATACTGAATTACTTATTTTAAAATGGCTAATTTTATTTTATGAGAAATTTGCCTCAATTGAAAATAACTGGCTGTGTCGCATTTTTAAAAATCTAACCAATCTGAAGTTTACATTTAATGGCTTAATGTTCCACTCCCTGTTGGATAATATGCAGTCTGATAGAGGGAGGTTGTAATGCTTTAACACAAAGAATTGGTTAACGGCAAACATTTCTGGCAGGGCAAGTTAGATAAATATTATGGGTTATGGAGGTAGTCTAACCTCCTCAATTAATACAAGTGTAAGTGTGTTTTTTCTTACAGAACAATTTCAGTACATTGATAATGGTGCTACTTCATGATTTTTGCATTTTTATGATTGACTCATATTTTAAAATCTTATTTATATATATAGTTAAAACGTAGTGCTCAGATGAGGCTTATTGCACAATTAGGGATTTCTGAAAGCATGTGGTCTTAAGTGCTAGTAGTTTTGAATCCCACGTCTTTAGAAATATTATTATGTATATGTATTTTTAAATGATTTGTCTTTTGCAGTAGGAGAGCACCTAGTGCTTCTTGGCATCTTGGACAAAGAACTGGACAAATCACACAAACAAAGCAAAGAAGGAATAAAGGGATTTACTGAAAATAAATGTATGCTCCAGTGTGGGAGCGGGCCCGAGCATAGGGGCTCAAGGGCCCCATGACAGCATTTTGGGGAGTTGCAACACCCTCTAGAGGATTCCACTGGTTACTTTGGGTGTGCCCTATGTAAATGGAGAGGAGGAAGTAATGTTACAAAGTCATTTACTTGGCCTACGCCCTATGGAGAGGATATTTCCTGTCATAGCTGAAGTGTGAATCGGCCTTACGTTCCCTGCCTCCAGATCCTAGTTTCCTGCCTCATCTGCCCAGAGAGATGTGATCCTCATACATTTTTATGGGAGGCAGAGGGACCAATGGTCTTTTTTTCTGTAACTGCTTTATGCTGGCTTGGGGCATAGTCCCTACCTACTGGGGATCACAAAACTGTCATTCTGCTGTGTCTAGTGGAGGCAAGGTAGCTCCTTGATGGCCAGGGGTGGTGTCTTCACTTGGAACTGGCTGGAGCCTTTGTTGCATGATCACCTAAAGCTTGATGCTCTCTAGGCGAGAGGAAATGAATTTGATTAAAAGATGTAATGGGAACTTCATAAGGTGGATACTTCTGCTGTCAGGAATGTTTGTTATAGAGAATTGCAAGAGAAAAAACAAAACCTGATTTCTTCTGGAATCTATGTATTTCCTTAAAGTCTTAGCCCAAGTCACTCCATTTCATTTGGTTTGGACTGTTGGGGCCTGGTGCATGAGCTTACTTCAAAACAATGGCCTCGCAGAATTTTGTTTAAAATTTCCACCTTTTTGGTTAGGTTCTCACTTAGGTGAGAATATAATGAAAACTTAGGGTCTTAGCACCACTCTTAGTTATCCTCATTTGGGTTTCCGGTTTCAGCACGTTATTTATAGGTTATGGTGTCCTCATGGTTGCACATTTCTTTCAGCTCCTGTTATCCAGTTGAAGAGAGACCATATGACATAATAGAGATGGCTGCACGCAAGCATTTAACCCTTTGAGATAATAGAGCACTCCAGGGAGACTATTATTATGACCATTGGGAGGATAATACCAACAGTTTGGAGTATGCTCCTTACCCAAAGTCCCTATGAACCAAAACTTCCTAAAATCAAATAGATCAAAGACTGACTTACCTAAGCAGTTTCTTCATTAATCCACTATCACTGAATTTCTATAATGTTCATTTGATGCATTCCTTTACAGGTCACAAGTGCCAGAAGCTGTACAGATACTTTTCTGTTCAGCCGATTCCATTTTAACTTTCACAATAGAAATTAAAGTCTGTTGTGAAATTGTGGCCTTTACAGTATTTTTTTTGCTATAGAGCCTATCATGGGGAATACATTTCTAGTAACTGCCTCTTTTACTTTAAGCTATGGAAAAAGGAACAAATGATGCCCTTCTAGAAGAATGAAGCCCTCCTGGCAATGCTCTTTTTAACCCCTGATGTGGGTCAACAGGAGTGAGCCAAAGTTTTATTTTTGACTGACTCTGAGGCAACACATGTACCATTAAAGTTTCCTACCTACGTTGGGCGTTTGTCTTTGATTTATCATAGTATAAGTTTATCCATGTATAAGGCTTGCTGCAAACGCCTTCACAAATAAAAATATACCCTATAAGTGCCCCTAACAGACCCCTTTTTCACTTCTATTGTTCATAGAGGCAGAAGCAAGAAAAAAATATTCAAAGATAAGAGCTTCATGATAGTAGAAGTCTTAATGTGTAAACTTGGCAAAAGCTGCTTACATCAAGGATGCCATCTTTTTCTTGGGAGAAATTTCCCTAGTTAGTTTTACCTTAAAGGGTTCCAAAGGGTGTATAGCTCCAAGAGTGTAGAGGAACCCTTCTCAGTTGTAAGACTATGAACCCAAAGCCCAGGGTACCAAAGCTTTGATGTAATGTGCATAGCAAGGACAGTTTTTTCCTGATGTTTCCAGAAGATCCAAACCATAAAAGCTTT